TATATATATATAAATCGAAAAATATTCAAAGAAAGCAGAAAAAAGTTTTGATGCGAGAAATTGACTTTGATTTAATCGAAAATTCAAAGTGCCTATTATACTCAAACTATGATTATAAAAGAGAATTACTTCAATCACAAGAACTAGTCCTGAATGTATTCACTTCATATTTGCTGGTTAATATGTATAAAAGCGTGAAATATACAACGATAACGATCTGAACAGTAGCCTACAAACAACAGCAAAAAACGAGTATTATGATAAAAACAACAACAAAAGGTTATGTTAAAAATAACAACGAAAGGTTATGTTAAAAATCAACAACAAAAAATTATGTTAAAAACAACAACAGAAAACAAGTAATCGTAGTATTCTTTTCCACCGTGCCAACTTTTCTTCTGATCAGCAATATGTTTATTACAATGTACAATTTAGTTATATAAATTTAAATGTAAACATCATAATCGCATTTTTAAAGAGCAAGTAGTAGATATTATCATTTCTTTTTAGTTTAAGCATCAAATATTTTGGCAACAAAGTACTGAGTGACCTTCTGTGGCCACCGGGTATAATGACTGCTAGCCATGTTGGTAACGTTTAAATAATATAAAAAATATTTTCAGTTGATTTTTTTAAAATGCTTTTTATAAACAAAAGGAGAGAAAGTATCAAACTTTATACTAAATTAGAAAAGTAAAACTATTAATAATTTTGAAACAAACGTAAGAAAAGTAATGTAATGGACAAGTAATTTGTAAGCAAAATCTTTTTGTTGTATAGATGGTAGTGATAAAATTAATAATTTTTAAGTATAACTAAGATTCTTTTGTCAGTGATCACGACGGAAATAGCCTTTTGGCTTGTAGAAGCAATCTGTTTCAAGAGAGCATCTGATTTTCGATTTTAGAAAAATTCACAGCTGTAAATTACTTAGAGTTCAGTAAGATTGTTTACTGAGGTTTATGACACAAAATTTTTCATTAGATATACGCATGTATCTTTAATCCCTAGTCTGATTTACCCAAAATTTGTATTGTCATTCTTCTATTATTATATTTTTTCAGCACACGTAAGTCAAATTTTTAAACGTTTTTCCCATCACAAATTCCACTACAATTTTAAATTATTGTGAAGAAAAACTTGAAATAGTCTTTCAGAAATTATTTAAATTTTTTGAGTCATAAAAGATTGTCATACTTTAGAGTGAGTTGAATAGCAACGTTTATTGAGGATGGTAAATAGTTTCAGACTATAAACAGTGATGCCAGTACCAACTTTATACTACTAATGCTGTAAATTGTAATTGATAAATTTTGTTGTCAACAGTGACAAATAATAATTATCAAAATGCTAATATTTGGAATGCATGTAAGACCAACAAAACACTACAATTTTGTAATTGAAAACACAGTATCTTACTGTATTTTACGAACAAGGTCGAGATTTGTCATCGCAGTATTTGGCGATATTTTAGTTAAATTTGTTGTTACGGTACCTAAAAATGCTCAAAATTATATGAAGTGAAATAGCAGAAAATTTGCAGTAATTAGGATGATTTTTTTAAAAGCTTGCAGTTACCAAACTTTGAATTTTCAACTAAATCCGTTTCAGAAATGAGTCAGACAATGGACACTGATGAGAAGAGTTTTGTTGCACATAGCTTTCCCAACTGTCCCTGTCTGACATGGAATGATTTCAGATGAAAGAAGATGACCAGGAATACGAGGAGGTAAAATCTGATCAGTGACTCACAGGGAAGTTTTTGAATAGTTCTGACAAGGACAAAAATGGTTGTAAATAAAGTAAAGTCCGGAAGTTTTTCTCTCTTTTATTTGCTGAAACGGAAAAATATTTGTTTCTGTAAATAAATATACATATGTGTGAAGCACTGTTTTGTCAACAAAATATTGCTCTATCAATTTGAAAAATAATCATTGCAGATCCTGTTATCAACCTTTTCTTAAATTTGGATTCGACATTTAATAATGTATCAGCAACAAGAAAAGGGTAATTAAGTGCAAATCGACTTTAATCAAATGAAATCTGTAAGAGACTTGATTAATAGGATTTCACTTTTTGTTGCATGCAATTCCAATGCAACAGGTGTCTTTTATTCAATTACATTAGTGAACAAATGTCTACTAATTAATTTCTTTGTTTAATATAAGTTTTGGTGAGTCGGGAAATAGTGTTAATAGTTATTGAGTGTCGAACTTCAGAGCAAACCAAGTGTAGGAATATATATTTGAGTTAACAATGTCGTAGGAAATGCTGAAAATTTGAAATGACAAAAAAAGCGTATCGGAGAATGAAAACGAAGAGTAATAAGTGGAGTAGATGCATTTACATGATTACTATTTATGGGTTGAGATGCCATGTTACATGTGTGATGGATTCATCTATTTTTGTTGTTTCACGTATTTAAGATTCTTGCATCATATTTAAGATTTAATGTGATTTTTAAGTTGCCTGTCGATATGTCTTATAATATTCTCACAAAATTTGGTCGTAGTTATACCTATGACGAACAAATCTATACTTTTTTTTCCTTTTTTCAGCAGAAAAAATTTACCAATCTTTTTAGTATAATTTTTTTGAGGAGTCACGAAAAATCCATTTAAACTAAGATGCACTGAATATAAAAGTTAAAAATATGTAGGCTTAGAACTGGAAGCAAAGGAGCAAATTTGAGAATCTAATGTACCTGTATAACTTGACATTGCAAGGATCATCAGCGATAAATCAAGCAATTCATGGGTCATTTTGTGGATTTGCAAAGCAACAGGTTAAATTGTTTTATATTTGTATCTATGGGAATGAATTATTCACGGACAAAAAATCACTTTATAAGTCATTTGTTCGTAGATATTTATTAATTCTTAGATATTTATTATTATTGTTTCTTAGATATTTATTAATTTGCTAGCGTAAACTGAGTTTCTGATTTCAGTTCTAAATTGTTTTCTCACAAAACGTTTGAACAGTTAGTAAGTATCATTTACTTCACTTTGATAAGATTTTTCAAGTGATTGGTTTGAGAAATAAGAGTCGAAAATATTTAATTGTAGGAAGTATGCGTCGCACGTGGCAACCTTTTACAGTTATTGTTCTGCGATCCGAAGACTGGAAAAATTCACATTTTATGTAGTCACAATACTTTCGGGATTATAAGGTCGCTGCTGTCATTTCGTCTAACTGGTGGAACAAAAGGTTCTTTAAAGTCTCTAAATCAGTTAAAGACAGTTTGGAGTTATTTACTGTGGAAATTCAGCTGTTTAAAAGCTGTCAAATAATTTTTGTTTCGAAAAGGAAATCAAAAGCTAATATTGTTTTTGAGCAAGACTGGCTAATATGTTTAGAAGGTAAATGCAATTTGAAAATAATTCATTTTCTGAAGTATTTTATTTCAGACTACATTGTTGTTGGTTCCGATGCTGGACGTATTGTAATTCTAGAATATAATGCACAAAAAGTGTGTTTTGAAAGAGTCCATCAAGAAACCTTTGGGAAAACTGGTTGTCGACGAATTGTACCAGGGCAATTTCTTGCTGTTGATCCAAAAGGACGTGCGATATTAATTGGTATATAGATTTTTTTTGAATAATGGAGAGCATTTAAAATTCATCAATACATAGGTAATTGATTGAGGAAAAAGATTGAAATAATAAATTGTTTTTTTAAACATGGCTATTTTTTATATCTTTTTTAAAATAAATGATTAATCAAGAGGTGTTGAAAGTAATTGAGTTTGCGATAGCTGTTTATTTATTCAGTCGCCAGAAAATATTGAATAAGAAAGTTGAGAAGTTTATCTGAATTTAATTTTCATGTATCAAACTTTAGCAAACTTTTATTTTATTTTATAAAGATTTCAAATATTTGTTATAGGTGCTGTGGAACGTCAAAAATTGGTCTATATTATGAATCGAGATGTGGCAGCCAACCTGACCATCAGTTCGCCTCTAGAAGCACACAAATCTCACTGTATTTGTTATAGTGTTGTCGGTGTAGATGTGGGGTTTGAAAATCCCACATTCGCCTGTCTTGAAGTTGATTATGAAGTAGGTCAAACTATGTTACATGATTTTTAAGATTTTCATAGATTACAAATTTTTAAAAGTTTGTCTGCATTTTTCGACGTCATATATCTATTTCACTAGTTTTGTCACTAAAATTTATTGATTAAAGGAAGTTGACCATGACTCAACTGGACATTTTGCTGCAAAAATCCCACAGACGCTAACTTTTTATGAACTCGATCTTGGTTTAAATCACGTTGTACGAAAGTATGCTGAGCCACTAGTTGACAAAGGAAATATCTTGATTTCAGGTATATAATTTCTAATCTGTTTGCGATTTGAAATGTCTTTAAGTCGATCATGACCAAGTCAAGAGTTGTACTTTACGACACGGCATGGTCAGCTTAAAGACAGCAAAGCATGGTATGATAATCCCAGTTTGTATCAGAAGTAAGTTTGATTTATCGATATCTTTTTTGAAAATTATGAAAATTTATTCACTACAGTCCCGGGTGGTCAAGATGGACCTAGTGGTGTTATTGTTTGTTGCGAGAATTATCTTGTATACAAAAATTTGGGTGACCAGCCCGATATCAGATGTCCAATACCAAGAAGAAGAGTGAGTTTCTGAAAATTTGCTACTATGTTGTTTGTAGGTTTTTATACGAAATATATAATGATTGTGCTTCCATATATATGCATTCAGTAAGAAGATAGTTACATTTATCCTAAATTTCGTTTTAGGCATTCTATGATCACATTTTCAGAATGAGTTAGATGACTGTGATCGCACTGTCATCATAGTTTGTGTAGCAACACACAAAACGAAATTAATGTACTTTTTTTTGGTGCAAACTGATCAGGGTGATATTTTCAAGGTTACTTTGGAAAGTGAACACGATATTGTAAGTCTTTTTAAATATATAGAAGCCAACAATTTGCCTCAGGGCATTTCTGTGCTCTTTATCTTCATTTTTTAACTTAAACTCAGATCTACTTTAGAGAAAACTTAGTAGAAACAGGATTGACTTTATCATTTTAAACATAATTGGACTTTGATGAAAGAATCAGTTGTGTGACTTCCTTCTTATAATTTTTAAGTGTTTTATAGGATCAGAGTGTTTGGTTGAATGTTAAATAATATGTCGTGAATTTTGAGAATAAAGTGTTTGCGGAATGCATTATTAGCAATGGATCGTTATTGTTTTAAGCATTATTTTGTAGGTTACTGAGCTTAAAATCAAGTATTTCGACTCCGTACCAGTTTCAAATGCTATGTGCATTCTGAAAACTGGATTTCTGTTCACTGCAAGCGAATTTGGAAATCAGTATGTTCTTATATTTCTCATACAAAACTTCTTGTTCCCTTATGGCTTGAATACATGATTGAAGCGAAAGTCTTCGATAGATTTTGGAATAGAATTTCAATATTGCCAGTGAGTGTACCAAATGATAGTTGATGATAGTTACTGTTCTTGGTTATTCCTGTGATAGATCGTAAAATTTTTCAAATTATGGAGTCCATTAAAAAATCTTTTTCTGCTTGTTCCAGTCATTTATATCAAATAGCACATTTGGGAGATGAGGATGATGAACCTGAATTTTCATCTCGAATGCAACTTGAAGAAGGTGAAACTTTCTTCTTTGCTCCACGTGGTCTCACCAACTTAGCTATCGTAGATCAAATGGATAGCTTATCACCATTAATTACTTCCTACGTAAGTACCATTAAAAAAATTTTTTTTTCTACATTTTCGTTACTTTATGAAGATCTTTTACATTGCAGATTGATGATTTAGCTAATGAAGACTCTCCACAAATTTACGCTTTGATTGGACGGAGCTCTTTTTCTGCTGTGAAAGTTTTGCGTAATGGTTTGGAAGTGACAGAAATGGCTCTTTCTGAATTGCCTGGTAATCCGAATGCAGTTTGGACTGTAAAGCGAAACATTGATGGTATATTTACAGTTTTTAATTGTTCAAACTGCAAATCTAAATAACCGCTTTCAGAGTATTGTAGAGGGCTTCCTTTGTATAAAGTATCCACAACATTTATTGCATAAAAATGAAATTGATAACGAGGCCAAAGTTCAGATGAAGGTAGTTGTGATTTTACATAGAAAACATTTACCGAATTCTTTAAGACTTTTTAGATGTTAGAAATTAAGTCAGTTGTTTTGCTTGTTTTGAATTGGAAACAAAAAATAAGTTAAAGAGTTGCAGATAAATTTGACTCTCATATTGTTGTATCATTTGTGAATGCCACGCTGGTATTGTCCATTGGAGAAACTGTTGAAGAAGTGACGGATTCAGGTTTCCTTGGTACAACACCAACACTAGGGTGTGCACTTATAGGTGATGATGCCTTGTTGCAGGTTAGACTTTGCCTTCAGTTTGGCGATATTTAGAACTTAAATGACTCAGAATTTAATAATAAAAGGTTAGAGCCTACTAAAAAAATTCAAGGCGAAATGAATTTTATTCTTAAATTATAGGTGTATCCGGACGGTATTCGCCACATTAGATCTGATCGTCGAGTGAATGAATGGAAAGCACCCGGTAAACGTACCATTGTGAAATGTGCTTTGAATCGAAGGCAGGTGGCTATTGCTTTGGCTGGTGGGGAACTCGTTTATTTTGAACTAGATGTGGTAATGTTTCTTCTCTTCTATTTCTTTATTTTGTTGTTTATTTTTTTAATAAATTATCTTTTTTTTTTTTGAAAATGTGTTTTGTTTCTTTGTTTATATTTTTCTAAATCACTTTATTGCCGAACTGTTTTCGTTCGAAAAATTTGATTATTTGAGACTGGGCAACTTAATGAATATACTGAAAGACGAGAACTTCCTGCTGATGTTCTTTGTATGAGTTTAAGTGAAATCCCTGAAGGGGAATTACGCTCACGTTTTTTAACTGTTGGTTTGGCTGACAAAACAGTTCGAATCATATCTTTAGATCCACAAGACTGCCTTTCACCTTTAAGGTACTTCACTTTCGTTTGTTAATGTCTTTATTTTTGTATAAATTAATCGAAATAGCTGCAGTTACATGAAGCATGAAATTCATCTTCAAAAAACAAGTGTTTTGTAGTATGCAAGCGTTGCCATCAGAACCAGAATCTATTATCGTACTGGAAATGTTTGGTTCTGAAATGTATAGCGCATCAACTGTGCACTTAAATATAGGTTTACAGGTTTGTTCATTAAAATTAAAAGTTATGTTTCTTATATGTAAAGTCGAATTTCAAAGAAATGGATTATTTTGATCCTGTGATTGACGTCTGTATTGTGAAATTTTGTTGTAGCTTCTAATTGTATCGCAATTTAATTATATTGACTTAAAACAGAAGATCTGATTCAGAATGGATGTTTGCTACGAACTACCGTCGATCAAGTCACTGGTGAACTTACTGATAATAGAACTCGATATTTAGGCACTAAAAGTGTGAAGTTGTTTCGGGTGAAAATACAAAATAAAGATGCGGTATGCTATACTTAGATATTTTTTGAAATTTCTTTAGCAATGTTCATGTCAAATAGCTCTCTTTAGAAAGATTTAATCTCTAAATTTGGGAAGGATTTAGTGTAACTTCCCATTTTAAGTATGCACAAAACATTATACTCAAGCATTTAACTTTCAAATATATGTTCAGACTTTCCATGTTCATAAAGGAATTTTTAAATTTTCTAGATTATGGCTGCTTCATCGCGGGCATGGCTGTTGTATGATTACCAAAGTAGATTTCATCTTACTCCTTTATCTTATGCTGCTTTAGAATATGCAGCAGGTTTTTCATCGGAACAATGTCCTGAAGGAATTGTTGCAATTGCAGAGAATACTTTGAGGTTCGCACTGTGTTTTTTTTAGTTGTAGAAAATTTTTATAATAATTTTGTACTATTCTAGTGCAGTTTTCTTAAAGATATCAAAATAAGTTTAGTTTTTTTGGTCTATTAAAGGTGGTTTTTTTGTAGGATTTTATCACTCGAGAAACTTGGTGCCGTATTTAATCAAGTGGTATACCCCTTAGACTACACACCGCGACGCATGGTAGTACATAAACCATCTGGTAATTTAATCATAATCGAAAATGACCATGCTGCATTCACAGTAAAAGGAAAAATGGAACGTCGAAAACAACTAGCTGATGTATCTTGTTTAATTAGATTTATCTGTCAAATTTATCTAAAGTTTTAAAATCACTTCCATTTAAGTTAGAGTTTCTTTAATTCTGTAGATTTAGATTGAAACTGCTAGCTAGTTAACTATATATATAGATCATGTGCAGCAAGTCGGAGGTTAATCTTCTTTTCTGTCTTCTTGATTCTCGCGTTGGATTGTGTTCCGGCACTCTTGCAGTACTCGACCGGTGAACCGTTCTGCTGTTTCCGATACACTGGTCGAGTGCTTTCCTATGACCTTCTTCAACAACCTTACTGTTTTCCACTTGTTTTCATTTATGATTCCACACTCGGCTTTTTCCCGTTTATCCTTTATTTCCTGCTTTCCTGCTTAGTGATGCGATCGGCTAGCTGGTAGCTCAACCGCTCGACAACTCGGCAGAACAAAAAATTTATTATATATATAATAAATTTTTTGGCAATAAATTTGTTGTGTATGTTTATACACTTCTTAGACTTCACACCGCGACGCATGGTAGTACGTAAACCATCTGGATATTTAATCATAATCGAAAATGACCGTGCTGCAGTAAAAGGAAAAATGGAACGTCGAAAACAAATTTTTTGCCAAATTATACAATTTTATTGTTTACGTCAACGGCACATTTTTCATTTCTGTATATTATTTTAGGAACTAATGGAGGTCGCAAAAGAAGCAGAAGAGGCTGACCAACAAGCAGTCAAAGAGATGGCTGAGGCAATAAGAACTGAAAAAGTCGATGAAAGGATATATGGCTCACCAAAAAATCAATCTGGTGAAAATTTTGTTGAAAAATTTATTTTTCAGCCATGAGAATCTTTATATAATGTATTTACTAAAAGTTTTAAAGGCGAATGTATGACGGGAATATATATAAATGATTCTGGTCAGTATTTCGTATATCATGCAAATTTGCTTGCTCCTCTTTGTTTTAAGGCATGTTTTTTATCTTGTAACTAATTTATTGGTATTCCAACACTCAAAGATTAGACGGGCGTTACTTCAAAGTTGTGACGCATATTATTTACTCTTCATTTTTTAGTTTTGCATTAGTTTCATTTTAATTTTAGAGCAAAAATTGAACTTTTTATTTTTCATGTTAAAAGTCATAGACTAATTGTTTAAGGGAAGTGGGCCTCAACAGTTCGGATAATGCGTAGCAGTGATGGCGAAACACTTTCACATTTTCCGTTTTCTGAAGATGAAGCTGCTTTTTCGTAAGTTTGGGAAATTGTTGAAGATAAAAGAAATAATGTTAAAGTAAAAAACTTCTCAAATTAACATAATTCTAAAATTTTGCTGATTGTATTTCAGGATAGCGATGGTACAATTTCAGAATCAAAGTGACATGCAGTTTGTGCTGGTTGGATGTGGTTGTGGGTTGCAGCTAAAACCGAGAAAGGCGAATGGAGGATGTATTTATACATTTTTGCTAAGTGCTAATGGTACAAGACTACAGTTGTTACACAGGACGCCTACAGATGAGGTTTATTTAAATAATTTTTCTAAACGTGAGGGTATTTTTTTTTTGCAAATTGTGCTTTATGTAATACATGCAAATATAAAGGTTGTGAATGCGATCCATGATTTCCGAGGAATGGCTTTAGCTGGTGTGGGAAAAAAAGTACGACTGTACGATCTAGGAAAGAGGAAATTGCTCGCTAAATGTGAAAATAGGGTATGCTGTTTTTGATTTTATATGTTTGCATCTATCTTTATTTATAAATCGCATGTTAAGTCATTCATGTAAAGAATTAAAACTGGTAATATTAAGGTAAAAATAGATATCAAACAGGAGCTCTTATGTCATGCAATATGAACCATTTTAAAAAATAATTAAAGATTTCTGTGACGAATTTAAATGACATGAAGTCTAGGATTAGGTTTTAAAATTGAATTGCTGATAAAAATGGTAATTTGTAGCTATAAAGCTTTTTTAAATATTCAGAAACATTAATAAGGATTATGTGTGTAAAAGATTGAACTGAATCCTTTGCATACTTTTCAAAACAGTATAAAATGCATTTTTAAATTAATTATTAACTTTTTTTTGCAGCAAATACCTACTCAGGTTGTTGATATTCGATCTATGGGACAACGCATAGTTGTGAGTGATTCACAAGAATCGGTACATTTCATGCGCTACAAAAAACAGGTTACTTAATTGAAATTTAGTATGTACTATTTTGAATGTTGTTTTTATAGAAATAGACAGAAGAAAAGACATTTTATATTTCAGGATGGTCAGTTGTCAATATTTTGTGACGAGACATCCCCACGTTATGTTACTTGTGTATGTTTATTGGATTATGACACAGTTGCAGTCGGAGATCGTTTTGGGAATATTGCTGTGGTGAGCAATATTAGCAATTCATTTTAATGGAATTAAAATGAAAACATAATATGCTTTATATTTCAATAAAATATATTTTTCTTAACGTGCATAAATGCGATTGAAGTAAATAATTTGTACAGAAGTATTCAGTTTTGCATTACAGCTTTACATTATTGGATACTTTAAATCTTTTTTTGGAGATGAATATTTATTACGATATAGATTAGCTTCCTATTTAATCAGGATTAGTTTTAGTTAAATGTTTGTGACTATTTTTCAAGAGGAAAAGGATGGATGAAAAAATATAAAGTTAATACCCATGATCAACAACTGTTTACATATTTGCATTTTGCATTTTGCATTTAATTGTTTTTTCTCAATTTGATAGCATAAAAAAGTTTTATTAAATTTTGAAGAATGTTTGCGCTAAATTTAACGCTTTTTTGTACCGTCTTTTAATATTTAATTATTATTTTGTCACTAGTTTAAAAGTTTTACATTTCACATTTCAGTTACGATTACCCAAGGGTGTTACTGAAGAAGTGCAAGAAGACCCAACTGGTGTGCGAGCGTTATGGGATAGAGGAAATTTAAATGGCGCTTCGCAAAAAGTATAAATGTTTTTACGTACAGTGAGCATTTAAGTAAAACGTGTTTGTTTCTCTACTAGATTTATTATTTGTTTTATTTTAAATTAAAATAATGCGTTTCAGTATATCAAGATGCTCTACTCTAAGAAATTTTTATCTAAGTTTGGCGTAGATTTGAAAAAAAACTGCTATCTGGATATTGATATTTACTTTAGTTTTGCATTAAATCAAAGTTTTTTTGAAGTTGGAAGCCATAGCCCACTTTTATATCGGCGATACGATCACATCAATGCAAAAAACATCTCTTGTGCCTGGTGCTAATGACTGTCTTACCTATACGACTATTTCTGGTTTTATTGGTATTTTAGTGCCGTTCATGTCAAGAGATGTAAGTCAAGTTTATTCCGTGATTCGTTTTCTGTATAGTTTTAATCTATGTCAATTTTTATCTGTTAAATGTTATCGCGCTAATAGCATTTTTTCAGTACTGTAGTAGATATTCTTGAATGATTTCTTATTTACACGATTTTAATGTTTTTCTAGTTATATTCAAACAGTATTTGAGTCTTTCAATTTTTTTGAGGAGTTTGAATTCTTTCAAAATCTTGAAATGCATATGAGAGTAGAGTACCCGCCGCTTTGTGGACGTGATCATCTCGCATATCGTTCTTATTATTTCCCTGTCAAGGTATCCTTATTGTGATTAAATTTTGATTTTTTTTTTCTTAACATAATAAATTCATGGAAATGGAAATGTATTTATTTGCTTATAAAATTTTTTTTAAGTCAGTTATCGATGGCGATCTCTGTGAACAATATTCTTTAATGCCAATGGAGAAACAAAAATCAGTCAGTGAGGAATTAGGAAGAAAACCACCAGAGGTTGTTATCATTTATTATTAAAAATACATTAAGCAATCATTATTGTGAAAGAATTCAGCGAGTATGTCTTCAACAATTTGCAAACCAGTTAACAGTATGGATAATTGCCATATTTTAAGATCGTACGTAATCGTAAATCATTTTTCTGCATTTAAGATGAAAAAAACCTATTAAAAAATCATTCTTTATTTCATCCCTTCCATTTTTGCCATGAACTTTATATGTGTCTTCAAAATTGTAAATTTAATTTCAATTTGAATTTTATAAGGCTTAACTAAATTTTTAATAACAATTAATTCCTGTGGTTTTACGGACTTGTTTATTTTTTAGATTTACAAGAAACTGGAGGATATTCGAACCCGTTATGCATTTTAAGAGCAGTCATCGAAAATACCTCATCACTATCGTTATTCCTACTGCTCTTTAACTTGTTTTTGATGGAGGAACATAACGGTGATCTCGTTTTTGTTATTTTGTTTTAATTTGTTCAAACGTTGATTTTAGTAATTTTTCAAATCTTTGCGTTTTGCAAATCATGAATATTTAATTTATAAGAGGCAAAACCGTCCAATGCTATGACAATTTATGATTGCATTCAACCAATTACTTTAATATTTTCCCTCTTCTCCATGAAGATTTGTTTGTTCACCGTTTCTTAGTTAAAATGGATGTTCAAAAATTGTTTCTTTTTCTGTGAATTCAATAAAGCCTGTATAACTTTTCAAGCCACGATTTCATTATTTTAAGATAGAAGCAACTTTCACGAACCATTTAACGTAGTT